AGTAATACAATGAAAGATCTTTTGATAAATGGGGAATAGCATTGGCTGGCAACACTCCAGGTACCACTTCAGTGCCTCACGGCCTCCATGGCACTGTCCGCTGCTGCGGCACCGGTTGTGTGGAAGCTGCAGGAGGAGCTTGGACAAAACCGGGTCCAAACTCTGTGGGGGTGTAAGAAAAGGATTGTGGCAGTTCAGACCACCATTGCTCTGTCCTTTCCAGGTACATCAGGTCTTGGAGGAGATAACCTGGCAGGCGGAGTGGGGGGGAGGAAAGCTGGGAAGGGGAGATGCAGGGAGAACTCTGTGAGGTGCCTCAGGGAGGAGATTACCGAGCTCCACCTGAGGGAGGTAGCATGTGGGAGCATAGCTGAGGCTGGGAAAACACTGATGGTTTTTGTGCCCTTTGAAGACTGCCACAATTTGGGGCCACCTTAAATTCCATCCAGTGTGGCAATTGAGATGACAGATATTTTTAGGAGCCAGTGGTACACCCTAATCTTAAAAAGCAGCTACTTCAGACCTTTACCCGTGGTGCTTCTTTTGTCTTTTTTTTTTTCCCCTCTCCTCTGGAAGAGAAGGCTGCTGGTCTGACACAGGGAGGGCAACATGGGTATGGGTACAGTAGCCTGCCCTGAGGTGAATTTTGTTAGTGCCAGTATTTCCTCTGGAAACTGGATTTAGCAGGATGGCAGAACCATGAGGTCACAGAGCAGCTGAGGTGGGCAGGGATCTTCAGGGATCATCTAGTCCAGCTCAGGCAGGTGCAGCCATAGCAGGTTGCTCAGGGCTGGGGCTGATTTGGTATATCCAAGGATGGAGGTTCCACAGCCACCCTGGGCACTCTGTGCCAGTGTTTGCTAACACAGTAAAAAAGGACTGCTTTTTATTTGTTTAAGCAGAATTTGTTAACATTTCTATTTGTGCCTACCTTTTGTTTTTATGCTCATCACCATCAAAAGGATTCAAACTGGCTTGGGAAGTAATTTTGTGGTCTGAGGACTGCTTGGAGCTGTATAGCTGCAAGTCATTAGGAACAGGTCTATGGTGCAATCTGATGGGGAAATAATGGAAGGATGAACCGTGTTGGTAGCAATAGTGTTTGGATTTTTCAAGTGGTTCCAAACATCAGTTCCTGCCTCAGTGCGGATCAGTGATGTAGTCTGAAATCCCTTTTCTGGTAGCTGGAAGGTGCTGTGTGACTGCTTTTAAAGACTCTAAAGGGCTTGTTAGAGTCCCCATTAGTATCGCTTATAGCACTGATAATGCAGAATGAAGGCATGGCCACAGTCCAGACAGTTTCGTAACTTCTTTCACACTGCTGCAAAGCTGACGGGAAATCCTTTGCTGAGCTACACATAAAGGTCTCTTCCTGACTGCAGCACCCTAAGAGAACCTGTCTCGGCTTCATCCGGGCAGGATGAGAGAGCTTGAAATGTGGCCTCTTCTGCTAGAAAAAGCTGTGTTCTTGTTTTCAAAGCCAGGTCATTACACTGTCTTCATTTAGGTAATAAGCAATTAATTGTGCCAGCCTGTGGAAAGAAGGATGTAGGCTGGTGTGTGGCAGGGAGGGGGAATACTTTAAAATGAACCTGCAATTGTTGAAGTGGTGCGTGTACCTATGGCATGAGACCAGCAAAGTCTGCTTTCATCTTCTGTTACTGAACTCGAGAGTTTTGAAGTATCCAGGAGGAGCTGCCTCTTGGTGGAGATCAGATGGATTTAGGCCCTGCATACCCCTCCTCTCCCCTTCTTTATGCATCCTCTCCTGCTCTGCCCTCTCACTACTGTGGCCTGCTCAGTGCAGGGGCTGGATGCCATATTGCTTTGTTTCTGCTGCAGTCCCCATGGGTAGCCAGCTGGCACACAGGAACGGCACTCGCTCTACTGGGGAGTCCTGGGCTGGCTCAGACCACGACAGGAGCAGGAAGGTCCTGCTCACCTTCCAACTCCTTCTGCTTGGAAAGGGAGCAGTGAGCTGCTTCACTACTGATTTCTTTCTTTTTTTTTTTTTTTAAATAGTGAGGTCCCATCACATCTGAATCTCCAGGATAGCTACAGATTAAAGAAATTTGATGGCTGCTCACAGAAGGGACTCGGAAGACCCTGCTGCAAACAGAACTGCTAGCAGGTCTGGTGCCCTGGGCATGTGGTACCCTGCTGGGTTCTTTTCTGCTCTGTCATCTTTAAACTGCCCGAGAGGCTGGTGAGAGCTTGATCTGGAACTGCCTGTGCTGGGAACAGCAAGGAGGACGGGCTGCTTTTTCTCATGTTCCCTCCTAGCAGGGGTTGGCTGTGGGGAATGCAGCTGGCCTCTCGCCGCTGGGGGCTGCTCTGTTAGTGCTCAGCCCCCTCTTGCTGTCGAAGCTGCCCAGCGGCTCTTGTCCCGATCTCGGGCTGCAGTCACCTCCACCAAAGCCACCTCTTCATAACTGGTTTACAGTGAGAAGCTTGGCTTTTTCATCACTAGCCTGTGCTGTCTCCTGTGCTCAAGGGATTTATTTATAGACTTACTGATTTTTCTAAATGCTCTCCTTGGTGTTCAGAAGCATTCCTGGTGCTGAGCTACAGCCCTTCCCAGCCTGTGTTTGTGAAAGCACAACTTCGGAGCTGTACAAGCAGGATGGGGAGGGAGTAAATGGTGCCTACCTCCTGAGGGTCCCAGCAGCGGTGCCTGTGGTTGGTTTCCTGCCCCTGCTGCACCCCAGCGCTGAGGGTGAGACAGGAGCACGAAACACGGCCGCTGCTGGAAGACGTGCGTGTTGCCGTGTAGCTGAGCCCACGAGTGGGTGTTGTGTTGGCTCCCTGATGGCGATTTCCACGTCCCTCACCACAAGTAATGATTACCTGTCGAGTACAGCTCTGCTGCCCGCTGCCCGCCTGCTGCCCGCTGCCCGCCTGCTGCCCGGGCAGGGACGTCGCTTATGTACACAGCTACTGTTGGCAGCTAAATTCAGCCAGAGGCAGAGAACGTGCCGCGGGGCAGGGCCGGGGGTGGCTGCTGGGCACCTTCCCTGGCTGCGCAGCAGCTCGGGGGCGGCTCACAAGGAGTTTCGGGGCATCGGGCATTAGCCAGTTCCTGTTTTTCAGTGTCAGGTTCCTGAGACATGTTAGACTAAGAGTTTTTAGAACAAAACCTACTATGTCCATCATTTAGCTTGAACTTACATTTTGGTTGTATACTGTAAGGGAGAAGCATGGTACCCAGCCTCCTGGTGCTCTCTGCATTTGCTCTCTCTTGTGTGGGCATGCTCAGTAATTCTGCTTGCTGACAAGACTACAGCACTGGACCAGGACCACCCACTTGTCCCGGGCCCAGCTCCCAGCCTGAAGCTCCCGAGATCTCCTCCCGCTTGGGGCCTTGGCTGCCACGCCTGCGGAGGGGAGGGCACTCTGCATGACCCTGCTGGAACCAGGCTGTGTGTCAGCTTCATGAGGTATAAGTTATGTTTGCATTCTTTAGTTACTCCCACTGCAAGGGGATGCACCATCTGAAGGCTCAGCTTGGAAATGACACCTCTAAAGAGACTTCCTGTTCTTTGACAGGAAGTCGAACTTTCACTTCTTTGACTAAAACAAATACTTGAAGGTGGAAGAGATGATACCTTGTTCAGTCAGTCAAAGGTTTGGGTGCTGCTTTTTTTTTTTTTCCGTGCTAGTTTTGTAACCTGGAGTTCCAGTGTTTAGCTTTTGTCCAGGTAAATTTGGAAAACCCCATTTTAATATTAATATTTATGTATGGCTTTAATCTGGGGAAAAATAAAGTCAATTTTTCTCCTGATGGTTTAATGCTGTCAGGCAAACAGCTTAACAGCTAATTGAGACTGTTATAAAAGTTACTACTGACAAACTACAAATATATAAGCATGCAGCCCTTTATTTTTGTAAAGATCTTTGCTTGTCATAGTTCTGTATGTTACATTATGGTGTTATACAAATATATTTATTTACAAAACCATGAGCTATGCAAGCTTCTTACTTTTTTTTTTCCCCCCTATTTGACTGATACCCATCTGTTTCAACCCTTTCCCATATATATTTTTAAGCATGCATAAAAATTAACTTTGGTGTGGTAAAACTACTCTATGTGCCCAGCCACATACAGTATTTATTTATTTATAGATATTTATAGATATGTACAAAAATTTGCCAGTATACAGAACAGTACAGAAGTGTACATTTTAAAATCCACAACGCAATACATTAACGGGTTACCAGGTCTCAGTGAAATAAAACTGAAGGAAAAAGCGTGGATTCAGCTATGAAAAAAAGGAATCGGCAACCACCTATATGCGTAAAACAATTGTTTTGTTTTTTTTTTTCTTGGCTGGCAAATTCTTAAATATAATCTGAACGGCAGTGCAATAGGTTGAGTTGCCTCATGCACACTAAGACCAGTCTTGTTCTGTTTCTTGTGCAGAGGTTTACTGTCCAGCATACTACTTTCAAATGTACATTAAAATAGTATCAAAATGTTTTGGCAAAAAGATCTCGAAAGGAACCGTGATGCTTGTTGACAAAAATAGAAATCTGTAACAAAGCTAAATAACACCAAAATAAAAGAAAAAATATTTTAGTTTCAGTTTTACAGTTGTGTATAATCACACTTTAGTATATCTCTGTTCACTTCTAGTCCCCATAATGAAAAATAGCTTTATACAAAACAACTTACTAAGTTTGTAACCATACATTTCCCCATGCTCAGTACACCGTGGTGCACACCCCGTCAAGTTCACTCACACACCTTCACACTCTCTGCTGTAAAGAGGTGCTGCCTACAGGAAGAAAATGCTCTTTTATCATTACAACAGCAACGGAGGTTTACAAAAAAGCTTCACCCTAATCTAATGTAATAATTCAGTATTGAGCACGCGATTAGTACGAAGCCTCCAGCAATACAGCAAAAGGGTGACGTCCCCTGGGTCAAACAGTGGCTGTGGGTAGCTCGGAAGCGAAGGAACGGCCTCGGTGAGGCGGCGAGCGCGCTGCCCGCCAAGCCTTTAGGAGGGCTCCTTGGCCGCCGAGGGCGTGGACTTGCCGGCATTTCCGTTCTGTGCCTTGTAGCTGGTGAAGCTAGGTGTGTGGATTGTCCTGATGCTCTTCACACCTTGGCTCAGTGAGGTGGGAGAAGTAGAGGAGGGGGGGGAGGTAGAGGAGGAAGGAGGGGGTGACCGGCCGTTTTGGGTCTGAGGCGAGAACGAGAGGTGGTGGCCTTTCCCTGGGTAAATGGGGCTCTGAAACTTGGAGGAGCCGTTAGAGACAGAGGGGATGAGGGAGGTAGAGTAAGTTATGCGACCTGTCTGAGGACCGAGAAGGTTAGAGGAAGGAATGGAGGATTTAGTAGGTGGATTAAGAGGGTTAGAGCTGTCACCGCTAGAAGCGGGTGCTGAGCCGCTTTTCCCAGAAGTGGGAGAAAAGGCTGGGATCTTAGAAGCAGGTAGGGTAGGGGAAGTAGCCTTATAGTCCCCACCAGCTTTCTTAGCACTTCCATTAGCCTGCAAATAAAGATGGCAGGAGACAGTTTGTCAGAAAGCCAGTAACATGATAAACCAACAGGACCTGGGAAAATAGCCCTACAGAGAATAAGGATTAACAGTTTGAGGCCTGAGCTAAATCTGGCAGCCATGAACTGGACCTGGTAGAAGAACCCCAAGTGCCCAATGAAGAGTGCATAGAAAGAGAGAAGGAGCCAACAAAGCTTTTGTGAGAAGGTGCAGTCTACTGGGTTACAGACCAGTCACTACATTGGCCATGCTTCTGGGTTATTCATGTGTGAACAGACACATCCGGCTGCAGAGTTAATGTGCATCTAATGCTACCTATTACACCAACAGGTTAGTGTCCAAGGCTTCCTGTAAAGAATCTCTGAACAGAAGCATTCCCAGCTCTCCTAAGGAACCACCACATTGACCAAAGGGAAAGTAAACAGGTAGTTGACATCTTAAAAATTACAGCTGAATACCACAATTTAAAAAAAACAAAACAAAACAAAACAAAACAAAAAAACCCAAACAAACCAGAAACAAAGGAAAAAAAAGAAGCAGCAGGTGTTTTATTGCAGACATGCACGCACAAGCATGGTGAAAAGATCAGTAGATACTGTCATGCCCCCAGGATCCAGGACGTCCAGTAAGACCTCACTCGAAAGTCAGGCATCCATTATTTGGTATAATCTCAGTCCGTTACTGGAGTTTTTAAATAAACAAACACCACGACATGTCCATCCAAAGAGCGGGTTTAGGGTAAAACTACCTGTCTGTATTGGCGTGGGTCCTGCAGCTTGTGCTGTTTGCCTGCTTTCTCCATGCTCCCTTGTCTAGACTTTGAAGCCATGGGGACTGGCATCCGGCTTGTCTGGGAGGCAGCACTGGAGCCCTGCGGAAACGAGCGGAGGGCAGGGAGGGGAGACAAGAAGAAGGCGTGATCAGTACCGCTGTGCTCGGAGAGGAGGCCACGCACCATGCGCCAAAAATAAAAAGCCACGGTACTACATGCAGGGAAAGTTCAGGAGCTTCACACCACGGGTATTAATTTCCAGAATCAAATGGAGAGAACTGCTCAGCTACTGATCAGCCTGGATTTCATGTCAGTGATGCTTGTCATTCCACACAGCAGATTATTTGACCCAGCTCCCCTGCATTTGCCCATCACCAATCAGCAGCAAAGATTAAAAAAACCAAACCCCCGATGGTCTATTAGCTGTTAGACACCTTGTGGGGAGCCCAAACAAGCCACCTGAAAGGAAGCAAACAAATCACAAGACCCTCTTGTTTAACGGTGATTATTGCAGATTTTAGAAAGCAGCTGGAGGTTTGATTTCTCAGACTAAGGTACCTTACGTGAAGTGGTTGGGATTGACGGAGGGGGCTCTACGCCAGCAAGGCTCTCATCCAGCACTACAAGCTCTTGGGATGGGGTCTCTGGTACTATCTGGGTAGAGAAGGGGACAGTGCTTCCCTCAGAGCTGTAAGTTTTTTCAGGGATAGATTTTGGACTCATTTCACTGATGGTGTTTTCCAGCTGCTTTATAGTCTGCTCAAGGCTGTCTAGCGTTCGGTATGTACTCTGTCGAATCTCATCAGTCCTAGACAGGGACGCTGCAGATCCCGGGGGTCCCTCGTGCTTCGCAGAAGGACTTTTGTCACTGTCCTCGGGCTGAGACCTGGTGATTTCAAATCTCTTTGCTTCCTTGTGCTGCTTCAGGGTCCCATCTTCCTCCTCTTCTTCATAGACCACAACCTGCAAGGTCTTCTTCCCAGTCTTGGTTCCTGTCCGTATCGCCTGCGTCAGAGCAGCCAGCTGCTTTTTAGGGAATTTGAACTTAAATTTTTTCTTAGAATCCTGCCTGCTCCCACACTGATCAGCAGAGTCCGAGTTTGCTTCTGTGTCTAGCCCATAGATCTGGCGGTATTTGTTAAAATTTGTCTTTGTGTTTTCCTCCTCTGCAGGAGATCTGGTTTCTGCAGAGTCGGAGGAAGACTGGAGGTTAAGTATGTGCTGCTCATTAAGACTGCGAGCTGCTGCATACTCCGTGATTGCTTTTCTGTCTTCTGCTACTGGTGGCTCTTCCTTCTGCCTCTCGGAGATTTCATGTGTTTCATTTGCTTCCTCCTCCTCTTCCTCTTCTATCTTTTCATCTGTCATCATTTTCTCCAGCTCCTCATCACATTCCTCAAAAATTGTAGAAAGCCGCTTATACGCTGACCTAATATCCATCGGTTCATCAAAAATGATGATGACGGGTTTTTTGTCCAGACACACCACTGGCTCTTCACTGTCTGTGTTTTCTGGGACACCCTTCTCCGACACCACGTCCTTCCTTGCATCGATGTTCACTGTTTGCACATCCCCACCTTTCCTGCTGACTATATCGTGAACCTCCCCGCTCGAGAGGACCTGGACAGCTGTTTTAGTAATCATGAAGGCGATGTTTTCTGTGGGTGGGTTGTCTTCACTTGGAGAGACAGACGGAGAGTCCATCTCTTCAGTGCTGTTCACGCTGTTACTTCTGGACACTTTGGATCTCAACAGGACCTGATTGTAGTTGACTGCAGAAGCTTCTTGCTCCTGCAAGGAAGGTTGAGGCCCCACAGACTCCTGCGTGTGCCTCATCAGAGGGGCAACGCTGCTGATGGGGATATGCTTGACCGTGCTCTGCAAGGCTTCACCCTGCAGTAGGCCCTGGTGAGCATCTCGTGAGAGTCTGTAGTCTGGCTTTTGTTTCCCAGTTTCAACAGCTGGAAAACGGGATCCTAAAATATCTTCAGCCCCTCTTTGTTTGTCATCCTCTGGCAAACTGACACCAGACAGGTTTGTGCTCACATTCGGAAGGTTTTTCTTAGAATAGTCTCTACTGTCTACAAACAAACCCTTGCTAAATGTAGGACTGTCATTCATTGAAAAGACAATTTTACTGTCAGCTGTGCTGGATGCATCAGAACCCAATTCTTCTTCATTTTTCCCTTCCCTCTTCTCTTTAGGATGGTCACTATCTGTGGGAGATCCTGTTGTAGCCCCATACACCTAAGGGGGAAAGTCGGATTACTTAGTTATTCAGGCCTGTTACCTTTACAGGACTTTTTTTTTTTTCCCAAAAAAAAAATGAATTATCATATTCTCAGGGGAAGTGCAGACCTCATGAACTCACCACTCTGTTTACTTCTGCAGAGGCATGTTTGAAGTTGTCATCCGATTCCTGTCTGCCTTCAGGACAAAATTCCAAGTTCTGGCAGAGCAGCGCATGATGTTACTGCTCTGTGCTATGCGTGTGACCAGCATGGGTTGCTACCCAGGGCTCCTGTTCTAACAAGGCCTCCAGAATATGCAAAAATATGCTAATAACCTTATTTCCAACACAGCTCTATCTTGACCTGTTCACTTTCCAGCTGAAAAAAAAATCCCTAGTTCATGTAAGAGAGAAGTTTAAAAGATGCACGGTATCTGTTTTAAGTTCTGCTGGGGCACATCAGAGGTAGCCTCGTATGGAAGGGCTGACATCAGGGTGCTACCTATGGTTTGCTAGCTCGCCATGGAACCAAATGTAAGAGTCTGACCAGCCTTGAAAGGAAATTTTGTACCAGTGAAAGCTGATTTTCAAATTACCACATTTTGCTGCCTCTAATGTTGCTCACACCTGAGCAGTGCTGCTCCTCCACAGTTAATATGGTAACAGTCTGAGCATTCCTAGATCCTTGCTGCAGCTTAGAAATACCCTTTCAAACTCAGGAGTGGCACCTGCAGTGCCTGCCCAAGTGCAGAATGAAACATTGAGCTCCATTCATTTACAGAAGCAACTCCAAACACCACGCACGGAGGTCATCCACTAGCTCAAAGGTAATATTTTCCCAGCAATGCAACTTTAAGAGGACTTTTTTCTTTGTTTTCAAATGAGGTTCCCTGGAGATGCTCTTTCATAATACCAGGCTTTTCTTTGGGGCTTGGTTTGTTAAGTGCTAGTGACAGCTTGGGATAAACACCAGTCATGAGGGCGAGGGAATGACCTGAAGAAACATCATGCCTACAAATGAGCAAGAGAACTCTACAGTCAAAAGATGGCTCAGCTCACCAAGAAGGAAATTAATCTGTCCTCGAATGCCTGAAGGCAATGAGCCAGAAGCATTACTGCTGACATTGCTTGAGACTAGAAGCTGATTCCTAACACACCAGAAGGACAGATTATATTTATATGAGCATCAAGACGTGCAGAAGATCAGTCAGGAGGGTTGCTCTCCCAGTTGAGATGAAGTAGTGATGGTACAGAAATCAACAGGCTGGCTAGTGCATGCACTCCCCATGCATACAGAGGTTCATAAGGTATAGTTTCTACATCTCATGTGGTATTTTCTTATATCCTGTTTGAGGATTTGACACAGAAAGACTTTACAGACAATCAAAATGCATGAGCAAGACAGTCAGCGATGGACCAGAGTCACAGTTCACCCCTACAAAGGCTTCTTAGCAGTCACAAGGCAGTGCAGCTGCTCCATGGACACCTTAACATCCCTCATACCTCTGTCACCCAAAACCAGGCAGAGCCAGCGAGGCATCAGTGGGCAGGCTGACGCTGCCTGCTGAGAGCTGTCTCAGAACAAAGCACCAGGGCTTGTGACCACCTCAGACCCAGCCTTGCTAAGTGGTAAGTGCCTCCCAGTCCTATTACACGTTGGAGCTCCCAGAATTAGGCCAAGCCATTTAATGGCACTTGTTGCCTGTGGATATGCTGAGTCAGGGACCAAGTTCCCATTTCTCTATATCTTTTTAGCCAAGTTCCACTTCTTGTTCCAAGCACCAGTGCAACATCTCATGGTGTCATTGTACAATATATCTCATTTTAAGAACTGCTGCCCTTCTACCAAAAAGATAAAACCACACCAAAATTCATTTCCTCTATGAGTTTATCATGATCATAAGGCTCTATATTTAAAGCCAATAAACACTCTGTCCTGTCAGAGGAGAAAACCAAATCTCATTAACCTTAATTTCCTGGACTCAGTTATATTCCAATAAATAGCAGTTTATGGCAATTGCTTGGCAACACCTTCCAAAGAAACATTTGTGCTACAGGATGCGCAGCGTCTTAAGTGGTGACCCAAGTTTTTGGGTAACAGTATGATCACCTCATTCTGACACCGGTCGGTCGCAGTGAGGAGGAACAGAGAGAGAGATTCAGATTTTTTTCACCGCAACAGGGGGTAACACACACTAACAGACACTCCACAACAAAGTAACTTTTCCCTTTGACTCACACTCATGAACCTGTATCCTCACCCAGCCAGCAATTTGCAGCTTTAGACCAGTGAAGCTGCTTGGGCAGCTCCAAGCAAAATCCTTACATGCAGGACCCTACCCTGGCAGCAGCACCTCCTGGGGCAGGCACGGATTTTGCTAACCCATCAGACACCATCACCTAGGCGTCACATCGTGCTGTACTGCTGCAGTGCCCCAGGCAGATGCAGCTCACGGTGGCTAGGCCAGCTTGGCTCTTCTCTGCCTTGGAGACCTGTCAACACCATCTTCTCTCTCCCTGCCTCAGTTTCCATTAAATGAAGTGCAATGTCTCCTAAAAAATCCTTGGGGAGTTATTCATGATGCTACATCAGAGAAGGTATTACTGCTATTTCTGATTTGCATACACACACAAAATGCCAGAAAAAGTTGAAATGCTGTGCTGAAGAGCTGTGTTTTCTTCCCCACCATACCTCCTCCATTGCGAACTGACTGACAAGTTGTCATGCCTGCACGACCCCATTAAACCCAGCAATGATTCAGTTCGTTATTCTTAAACTTTAAAAAGAGGTCTACAAAGGCAGGAACAATCAACTCAATTGGTAACTCCAGTCCAGACACAACTGCGAAATTCACCCCAACTTTTTATTGTAGTTCCAGAAACATGGCAACTCTTCTAAGTCCCATGACATAACAGTGAATCTTGGGCATTAACTTCCAGATTAAGGGCAAATTTGTCCATCCACCTTGACTTTGTCATCCGATAAACTGGATGGGATTTCTGAATACCTAATAACTATTTCTGGGACCAGCAAATAAAACAAGATAAAGCAAAAAGTCTCTGAGATGGCTCTTTGGGACTGAGAGGAACCACTAATTCTCCTTAAGACAAGAACAAGGCTTAGGAGAGATGCCTCACCATCCACTGCCAGAACAGCACTGGAATGATGTTCTAAGGAGTATGAGCATTATTTGGCAGAAACTGATGGCTCCTCTTTCAATTTTTCACTTCACAGAATCATAGAACTTCATGCAACCATTGTATAATTGCTGATGAGACACGTAGCGTAGATGGATATAGCATTCCACATGAGCGTTTCTGAGCCATACTGAGATAAAAGGAAGGAAACCACTGGGCAGCAGTGGGTGGGGGGTTAGAGAGAACAGGGCACAAGATATAAGATTAGTTTTGAAGGAAAGAAGGTTATGCCAAGACCAGGTGGCATGTTTACAAATGCCACTTGTTACCTTCTTTTCCTTGTGATGCATTAAAGTCCCAGGCCTTATGTCTTTAACATGTGTATCATTTCTGGACTGTTCAGCATGACTGTTTGAGTTTACATCCATAAAAGAGCACTTCTGGAAAGCCTAGGAAATAAATGCTGCAGGTTATCAGGAGACCAAGAGCTTTTACACAGAAATGTCTGGAGGTGACCAACTACAAAAAGAGCATTTGTTTTTAACATTCACAACTCAACAATATTACCTACACGCTCATGCAATAATAGAGATCTCAGACTACCAGAGTATGAGAAACAGGGCATCCTCTCCACTCTGCCAAGAGGGCACTCGAACTCATCACACTGACCTCAACGTTCCCTGCAGGGAGATAGGCTGGATTTCTGTTTTTACACAGCGGGAGATGAAGTCACACAGAGGTGCTGCAAACTATCCACACTTAAGCAGGAAGCCCATGACAAACTTTGGGCTTGTCAAAGTACCTACTGGCTGATAATCATGCAAGAGTCACATAACTCCAATTCTCCCCTGACAAACTGTTATTAAAACTTTAGACTTAAAGAGATGTATCTTTGCCACAGTCTCCATTAATATTCCAGACGGTGACAGTCCCAACACATGGGCTTGTGGACCACTGGCCTCCCACCATGTGTATCCCAGGGCATGGCCTGTATGTCTCAGACCTTTATCTTGCTATTCTCTTTCCATTTCCTTTGGGAATCTGTATCCAATTGGCTTCCAGATCTGGAGGGGCAGAACTCTCGGTGCCACCGCTATGCAGTGATGGCTGCAGGTGTGCACCACCAGACTTCTGCAGGCCTCTCCTGGCACGGTCTGCCTACAGTAAGCTGCACAGGCAGGACACCTCTGCCCGCAAGAGGAATGATGGAAGAATGCTTACAGGAGTCAAACACTGTGACATGCAAAAAAGGTTATATTCTTATACCATGTGTTAGGGAAATTGTTGAATTCCTGGAAATTCTCATGAAATCAATAGCTCTGATTACAGACTAGCATCAGGCCTGTTCTTTAAATATTGTATTACTCATACATATTGCATGTTTATGCAAGATCAGAAAAGTAACAATAATTTAAAAGTCCAGTGCAAAAATCAAGGTGTAGCGTTTCTTCTGTCTTCCCATTACATCCTATTTGTGTTTATAGACCAGGGTACCTAAGATGACATGGAACTATTAGAAAAAGTAGTCTTGCTCCTCATAATACAGGCTACAGACTCTCCCCAGCTTATCCATTGCTGAGACCAGGGACATGTTTTTGAGTTAGGCATGCCATCTACAAAGGCATCCTCAAAGTCCTTCAGACTTTAAGTGACAATGAGTTCACCACTTCCCCTGGCAATTTGTTTATTTATCACCTTTGCTCCAAAATATCTGTAACAGGGTCCACATACAGTTTGTGCTACAGCAGCTGATTATTATGATGCCTCTTTCTGCTAGGTTGAAAAGGTATTTCCCATGAAAGTACCTCCACCTTGTACTCAAGTCTCTTCTGAACCTTCATAGCCTTAACAGCCTTTTCAACCAAGGGATGTGTGAATGCTTAATCACGGTTATCTCACTGATCCTGTAGACAGAGATAAAAAGACCCCCTGTTCTCACATCTACACCTGAAGCAGACACTAACTGTGGCAACAGCACCGACCTGGGAGCCCCTGTCAACTTGTTAGTGCAACTCCTGTTTCTTTCCAAGACATGCAGTTGTGGTCTGGCTTATACTTTGTTGGTTTTCATTTGGACTTTATATTTCAATGTATATATTATGACCATTAAGTGATTGCTATCATCTCCCTGCTCTCATACTTCACTCGTTTGAATTAAGCGAATTTAAACAGTAAGGATTTAAGATGTATTTCCAGGCAGTTGATGAAAATGCATAGTGACACAGGGCCTGTAGCTGATCCCTATGGGACCTGACTATCAACAGCTGCATCAAGGGCAGTACTTTCAGAGCCAGACAGATCTCTATTGATTGATGACAGTGTTTTTTTTTGTATACTCTGTGGTGCCAGGTTTTTATCAGAATGTTGTAAGGCATTTGATCAAATGAGTTACAAAAATGTTTGTAGGTAAACAATTCAGTTTAAGCAGTCAAACCTGTCACCTGATCAAGGAATGTTGTTTGCTTTGACAGAACTCTGTTCCATTACATTGTGCTTACTAGCACAAGTGCTTACAGCTGTTCTTTAGTTCTTCACTGACTGAATACTGTACCTGATTTTCTGTTATCCTACCTGTGACTGATACCAAACTAATCAGATTATAGCTCCTGGATCAAGCAGTCTGCCCTTTCTAAAACTCAATACTCTGTCAACCTTCTAAAATATACCTGATATTTTGGTATTTGTTTAAAATGAGCATTTCTTGTCCCCAAAACTAGCATGTAAACACACATTCCATGTTGAGGTACCGTGCCTATTTCTCTTCCTCAGCTGCTCTCAGCTCCCCTTGCCAGACCTTAACCTCGTCTTCATTGTCACCAGTTGCAAGGCAGCCGTGTTGCTTTCCTACACACAAGAGAAGATGTGACAGTTTTCACTGTCCCCAGCTCTCTCCTGTTGCACTAGCCATTAGCACACAAACAGGGGCTAAGGGTAAAGCAGCAGTCTGAAGCACTCGTGGGTGAGAGCTGAGCAAAAGGGCAGGATGCCCCTGTCACACATAACTGTCACTGCTCAGCAGCCACATTTCCTGTGCTGCAAATGCTGCCTGTGTGTCCTGAAACCCACCTTTTGGCAGGTGGACAGCAGAGATCACCTCATGCCATGACAGTGTTCTGAAACACCCCAGCATCAGAAGTAAAAGCCAGCTAAGCTGACCCACATCTTTCCTTGTGTAGGCATGGAATTGGACAGAGGGAGTCTCTGGGAAGATGGAGCTCACTGATGGTAGCTGCATAGCTGGCTTCTACTACAACATCTCCATCACTAAACGAAACTGGCCTGTGTGCTTTCAGGGGAAGGACCATCAAGAGAGCACTACTTCTATGCCCCTGGCAAAGTAACGTACCTGGTACACAACAGGGAAACAGGAAATGTTTCAGTGTTCAGACACTCCAGGAAACACTGGACCATAGCACAGAAGAGCTATTAAGAGACCTTACATAATATGAGAGACCTTAGCACAGCCAGCCTTGAGCAGACCCCCTATTCTCTGTTCATTCATGTGAACATGAATGACAGGCTCCCAGCACCTTGCCATTGAGAAATGCTAGGCCAGGGCAAGCCACATCAAACACACACCAGTAATCTGCTTGTTTCATGTAAATGTCCAAGATTCTCCAGCAGCAACCACTGAATTCTTGACCACTCATTCAGCTCCAGATCTCCTGGACAAAATTTGAGTGGTGCTTAAAATATGGGTATAGCCCAGTGCAATAAAGGGGGACCTGGTGAGACTGGCAGACCTACTTGCCTTCATATTCTGAGACAGAAATTGTGCTGAGGCCCTAGAAGTGATATCAGGTACAGGTATCTCCATGTGCAACCCAAAAGGCATACCTGTAATTCTGCCATTATTTTATCCCCTTCCTCTTCCTCTTCATCTTTTGCAGCTGATGCTACAGCATGCCCTGTGATCTGAGACAATGCCTGATCCTCTTTAGGGGCTTTGGGTTGTGCTATTTGCCCAGCATCTTCACTGCATTCCTACAAAGGGATGAGAAAGCACAGATAATATAGTTGAGCCCTTCTGATAAAAAGCAAATACAGAAAACTCAACACTACTGCAATTCCCCTGTTGCAAGGTCTCCTTCATTTTTAAGGAGTCTGTGACTGCACCGGTTCCAAAGCAACCAATACTGCTGATGTGACAGCACATTCACATATTAAGAAGCTTCCTAACTTGGACTTCCCTTGACTTCCTCCAGAGGACAGAGCAGATGAGGAACGGAAGCCCACAAAAACTAATTTGCAACATTTCTGTAAGAGTGCTCTCAACTTTGAGCTGATCTCCCCCATCTGTGTAAGGCATGCTTTTTTATTTTTTTTCTTTAATCTTCTTACCACTCTAAATGAAAGCAGCCTGAGACTTGCCTTCTACCTAGGAGATAAGAGCAACAAGACTCCTGTAAATGGAACTGATCAGGCCTTACTTGTTCATTTGGCCTAAGAGCAGTGTTTCCTGGTAAGCACTTTCAGTAGCTCTCCAGGCCGTAGCTCTGTCTCAACTTATTTGTGGTTTACAGGCACAGCCCAAGCCTGGGGATGTTTCTCTGTGCCAGCCACTCATCAACAGTCTGATTGACTAGAGTCTGAATCGTCAAACCTTGACAGCAGCAACCTCTTTTCTGGCTGCATAGATGACATCTCCTGATCTTGTTGTAGTTAGTCCTGATCCTGGCAGGTAACTGCGCCGTGGAGGTGGAGGAGGTGGAGACTTGGTCAGCTTGTCATTATCCTGTTCTCCATCAGGAACTTCTTCTGCAAGTAAACAGAGAAGCACAAGTGGGCATAGGTGAAGGAGGGGGGGAAGGTATTTGCACCCTTGCTCAACTGGAAAGGAAAAAAATGTCTTAAGAGGTCCTGCTGCTGAACAAATATGAATAGAAACACATTTGGGATTAAAGTGGAACCACCTCAAATGAAAGCACACAGTGCTGCATTGGCTCAGAGAAACTGGGTCACTTCATACAGAAATTTTCAGCAGAACTCCTGTCCCCCATGCTACTGTGGCTGGGTTTCAGCCCTTGGCGTACAAGTGTGAGAGCAAAGCACACATCTGTAAATCGATCCCTTGTACAGAAGCATGTAGGTGCAGGTTCAGTCCTCTGAAAGCATGGCTACTGATGTGGATGCTAGCAAGACACCAGACCTGGAGGCTTCAGCCTAGGACACACTTCTGCTCTGCTTGGAAGGTGCTGCTGGCAAGGCTCTAGGAATAGAGCTGAAGAGTTTTGTCAGTCTTATATTTGGACAAAATTAGTCCTCTGGCCCCTGAGCAGGGCAGAGGAGCACCAAGGGCAGCTGCATTTTTGCCTCTTCTAAGACAGCATTTATTTTCAGTTTACTTACTACCACATGTTCCAGGAATCCAAAGTTTTGCCCTTGAATTATCATATAAAAGCCCTATATATATGTTGCTAATCCACAAAGATTCAAATACCAAATACAACACCTGAGCAGAGCCAGCCCCTGCTTTCCAAGAGAAGACCAGTTTCTCAAACTGGCATTCCCCAGCACAATGCTTCCCCACCCAAGTGCCAATTCTTCTTCCCCTCTGTCACTGCACAGCACTTTTTCCAGAAGCAGCATTACCCTGCTTGTGACTTGTCCCTGCGTGTTTCTGGTCACAGGCTAAGCATTGTACAGGGCAACAGCCTCCACTTTCACACTGCTGTTTACAATATTTGTTTTCCTGAGCGAGAGACTGACCTTTCTGCAGCTACTCAGTGTTACATAAACAGCGGGAATAAATATAACCCAGAAAGATAAAACCTCCTGCTTTTGGGATTACCCAGCTGTTTAGGGATAAGTGTTCCCTCTAGGCAAGTTATTGCATAACTGCCCACTCCTCGGGCTATGTCAGGCTCCTCTGACCTGCTGGCTGGCCCCTGGGGCTGGACTGAGCCCTTGTCTGACCTGCCCTCCTCTTTGCTCCCTTCTCAGCTCAAATGTTCTTAGAAGCTGTGTAAGCTTAAAAAAATGCTCAGTTGCATTCTCTCTCTCCCTGGTTATCTGGCACTTGCAGGATTGCAAGAAGAATAAATTTTCAGGTGTACTTTACGTTAGACAACTTCTTTGGTCAATACACGCCACACATTTTTTAGTGACATCTGACTTCTACCAGGCCAAGGTATGATCAGATGCTATAAAATCAGAGTAATTCTCTAGGATGTTTTTTAGCAGACTACGATGTAGAGCCTGTGAAAATCTCTACTCCTTTTAATGGGCTCAACCCATGAGCCTCAAACTCGTAGCAGTTCTGACTACAAGAACACCAAAGATTTTCTCACACTTAAGAAAAGAAAGGCTGGATGAGAGACATGGAGAGCACAAAGAGAGCACAAAGAGAATGATTCCTACCATCTCTTTCACATCTGTGAGACATTCAGCCACGTCCATCTTCAAAATCAGAAATAGAAAAGGCAAAACATGGGCAAGAGAAATTATCAGTGGAGGTGGCAGGTGCACAGGCTTTTGAAGGCTAAGCCCCCTCACATCCCTTTGCTGGAGAGGCTGTGATGCTGTTTGCTCACAGTCAATGTAATGATACTGGGCAAGACAGAAAACTTCAAATCTGGATTTCCATTTCCTTACTAAACAATACTATTTCCCCAATTTGCATGGGAAGGAAAAAAAAAAAACCTTCAGAGGAAAAAAACTGAGGAAAGTATCTTATTCTAACACTTCACACCCCCTGCCCCGCAACTCCCTGCCATGGCTGAGTTCTTCTAGCATATATAAAGAGAGAGAAGTTAATGGACAAGTAGAACTCACTAAGTCTGATGCTACTCATGAACAAAAAAGTTAATTTATGGAACTTTCTTTGGTGCCAAAGGGCTCCCCGCTTCTGTGAACAAAATGGGAATCGTTCATTGCCAGCTGTTTCACTGAACTGAAGCATTCTTCAACAGGCACAGACTGGAATGAATTTCTCCCAACACACAAATTTCTACTTGCACCAAAAAAATCCAGCATGTCTTAAAAAGATCTCAACACAATAATGCCTGCCCTGAGGCAACCCTTTAAGTCAGATAAGCAAACTGTTTTTGATGGAAGCTACTGATCACTCAGCACTGGCTAAAGTCAGGGCACTCTCATATATGAAGGCACAAAGAGAGATGAAGGAGCCCAATTTCTAATGTACTTGCTAGAGACATTCCCCATATTTTTCACTGAACAATCTCGGTAGCAAAGATGAGTTAGAGTCAAGACATGAAAGAAGTATTTACAGAGACATCTGCAAAATTGTGTAAAGTGTGTAATTTTACTTTGTCTTGTGCTTTGCACAGCAGGAAAAAAGAGTTTCTTACTTGGGCTCTGTGTGGAGAATGGCTGAGACAACATACTCTGCCAATGTTGTCTATCTCTGAGTTCTGCAGCAAAGCCAACAGAGAACTCTGCTAAATTTATGGCTGAAATGTCTTACGCCCTATACTAGTATGTAGGTAGCCTCTCTTTCCTCATGTTGCTCAGATTTCTAGTCTACAGCAGATACCAAAATTTTCATCTTGAATCATAGAAGAGTTGGGTGTCACATCAGATATTTAATCAGCTATTAAGGAAAAGTTTTGCTCTACAGGATTAATTATGCACAACAGAAGGCAAATGTCTCAATCTCATCAAATTTCTCCTTAAATCTGCTGGCTACACACTGTGCCAATTGTATTCTAGCAGTGGATTAGTTAACTGTAAGAGTTACAATACTTCTCTGTTACTGGGCTCTGCACTTTTTAAGATGTCACAGTTCACTGCACCCATATGGTATTTATTTTCACTGACTTTTTCTTTTTATGCCACACATTATACAAGATAATTGTGTTGACAGCTGGTAACCTTACTGAATGATGCTAGAATTCCAAAATTATTTTATGTGGTTCAACAGAATTTATTTTAAACATGTATGTTGTGAAACATCCAAGAAGCCACAACTTGTCAGTGTTAAAGGTGCGCCCAGAACAAAATGCTGGATCTGAAGACACTCCTCCCATATTCTACATGAATTTGTCTACACAAGCCCCAGGGCATTGTTCAGCAGTTTAAATCTTGGCACGCCAACCTCTTTAGTTCAGCATGCAGCTCTGGGCTCCACAGCTCCAGAAGGACACAACGGAGTTAGAGAAAGGCAACTGAAACTAGCCTGGGGAGGGAGCAGCTGGCCTAGGCGGAGGGATCAGAAAGGCTGCAAGTCTGCAGTTTGGAGCCTGTGGGGCTGGCTGAGACTTCCAGGATATGATCAAGGTTTATTCACTGCCTTCATGATTTTATAAAGGGAATGCAGAGCTGTTGCTGGCCAAATTGCAGAATATTAGAACTATGGGGAACTTGGTGAAACTAGTAGGGATCAGTTTAAAATAGATGAAAGAAAGCTCCTTCACAAAATGGGGAGCCTGCTGCCACAGCAGTGGAGATGCAAATAGTATAAGCAGGTATAGAGGAATTACTGGATAAAAGGCCCACATAGATATGAAAAGGAGAAGGCTGGGATATTCCTTCTAATATCAACTGGGGGTGCTGGGAAAGTACTAGCAGGCTGCAGAAAGTGACCAGGTTCTGTGGTGCCCTCAAACAGCATCTCACATTGCCTGTCAGAGACAGGCTGCTGAACTGGATGGACTATTGCTTAAGCACCCTGGGTAAAAATTTTGCAGCTGACTCACGTTGCGCTGATGAGGTAAATCCAAGGTTTGGCTGAGGTATCTTCTTTGCTCCTTGAACCCTGAAGAAATTCAGGCATAGACTTATATGTTAAATTGTGAAAGGAATAGAACTGAAAGGACATCCCACCATCCTGCTACCACAAAGTAGCTCTACCTATATAATTCTTGTCAGTCGATGCTAGTCTAAGCCATTCTCTCCAGTGATGGGGATCTTAAATCCTCCTCATTTCATCATACAGACTACTCCACTGCTTCACCTTCCTTATCATTATGAGATTTTTTTTCCTAATATCTAACTTGGATCTTCCTGGTTGCAATTGCCAGCTTCTACTGCTGTTCTACCCACATAAAGCAAGTTGGTCTTTTCTTTTTTTAAGCAGATTTTTTTATTCAGAGATTGTTTTGTCCTTCTTCAGCCTAAACAAAACCAATTCTGTCTTTCTGTTCCCCAGAGATCATGGATTTTTTAGAGCTCTGGTCATTATCATCACTGTCTGCCCGACTTCCTCCTATTTGTTCAGTCTTCCTTGAAGTCCAAAATGTTGAGTTTGGGAATTTCTGTGTAGGAGCCTGTCACTGCTGAGCAGATTCTTGTGTCTTGTAGATTGTCCTTTTCACCTCATTATGATAGTTACCTTTTTTTTTTTTTTTTTTTGCTACAGGGTCACAGTCTGACTCATGTTCAACTTGAAACTCATTATCTATGTCATAGCTGTGAAGAGCCAGACTGCTTACTGTGAAAGTCATTCTCATTCATTCCTACATATCTAGCCACTTCCCCAAGACAACTCTGTTATCTAGCATCACAGGTAATTTTCAGGCCTCTGAAGGACTCATCCAAAACACTGGTTGTAGTTATAGTTTAAGATTATGAGGTTAGCAAAGATCATTAAGATCAAATAGTCTGACTTTCCACTTAACACAGGTTCAAGGATTTGTTTAAGGAGGTCTTGTGTCATGCACAGTGCTTGTGTCTGAGCACCCCATCAGAAAGAAACATGGTATTGCTTAAAGATCTGAAGTGAGAGACAATCCCATATGTTCATAATTAAACTTCAGTGATTAGCTAGTCTGAATGTTAAAATTTGACACCTAATTTTTAATGTGTTTTTTTTTCCTAGCTTCAGCTTCCAATTGCTGGAACTTGTTGGAACATGATCTGCAAAGTTAACAGGCCTCTTTACTCTCAGAAACCTCAGGCATGTCTTGATCTTATTTTGATAACAAGTATGTCTACAAAAAGAGCTTTTAACGTTTCCGATGGTAAGATCATTTGTGCTCAAACTTTCCAGAGCTAAACTATGAAGGGCAAAAGTTAATTACATATTAAGCTATTACTAATGCTAAACTATTGAGTGCAAAACTGAACACAGTATCCTAGATATAGTGTAGTACACAGATACTCTCATCTCTGTCAAAAGCAAGGTGTACTCTTACTCTTCTCTTCATGAAGTCTTTATCTCCAGAGGAAACAAACTCATTCTTCCAGTTGCAATACAGGGAAATTTGTGTTCATCTGGTTACCCACAACAGCATGTGCAAAATTACTGCATCCTATCCACAGGACCTGCAATATTCCTCAAGAACACACTCACAGGTGTCATCAAGAACACAGAAAACTGTAAACTGAAACCCTCCTAGAAAACAGGAAAAAATAACCTATCTTTTACAGATATGCAATTTTTTAGCATCATTTACTCCAGCAAATCTTACCTGAGACTTCTAGCTTGTCCACTGCATCCCCTTTAGGCAGGGCTGCTGGCTGAGGAGGCATCTCCAGGTTAGGAATTGACTTCATTATATTGGCCTGGGCCTCTTCCAAGAGCTTTTCAAATTCCTTTCCATTATAGTGATCAAGGTTTTGTCTTTTCTCTTCCCATTTCTTTTCAGCTTTCTAGAGAAAACCAGTAAAGTATCTATTATTTATTTCACTGGTTTTTGCTGTGATCACTTACTTGAAAAAAAAAAAAATCTATGTTTAAATATTACAGGTCAATAGGGATAGGTTCTTTCAGTTCTAGTCAGCAACTAGAGGAAATTTATTAGCATTAATTAAACACTGGTCCTGACTTCCATTGTGCTAGATATGGCACAAACACACAATAGACTGACAGTGGCCACTGCTCACTAAAGGAACTGAGGCAAAATTTAAATCTGGATCACTCCCTGCTATATCGCACTAGTGATTGAAGCATATATCTGTAATAAGACATGAGAGTTCACCTGGGGTTTTTCCCATACGTCCGTGTGAAACCACCGTAACTTCACACTCTTCCACTTTTACCTCTCCATAATGAGGGATATGGAGACTTAAAGAGTGAATGAAATCCACTGATGCAAGTGTTGCCAGAGAATCATATGTTATTGTCAAAAAATAAGGTATTTTTAAAAAGAATTTTAAATTATTTTAATAATAAAAGTTATTTGAAAAAATAGTGACTCATTTTGGTTATATGTTATTGTCCCGTGTCTTCAGAAATGCACGGTGTAGTTAGGGGTTAAGCACAGAAACCCCTAGATTGCACTTGGAAAATCCCACCTGCAGGCCCAAGAGTGAGACTGGGAGCTTGGGCTCAAAGAGAGGACAACTGGTTGAGTGGAATACACCGTACCTCAATTGATACAGCTCGGTTTCTGGTACTTGCACTGTGAATTTCCTCAATGAAAAGACTTTGCATGGTGGTGCCATTGACAGAGACCTGTGGTGCTGGCGTGGCCTGTGTGAGCTGGGATCCTGTTGCGGGCTCTTGCAGGGGGGCTACTGGGGTAGCTGAGAGGTGGCCACCCACGGGCACCCCTTCGCTGTGGCTGGCTGCTGTGGGTGAGCCCTGGGCATGGTTGACCAGGGCTGAGGAGTGCTGAGACTGATGGATGACAACAGGCGAGCTCTGCACATGATGGACTGTCATTGTTGAGAAGGGGACGACTTCTGACTTGACTGACGACACCTGGGACTCTGATGCGACTGCTGTGAGGTTTTGCTGTGCATGTCCCTGGGCATGCTTGAGCTCCTCCTGGCTTTTCAGCGTGTCAGCTGCAGTGGCCTTTTCTGTAGCAGAGAATTGCACGGCTTGGGATGGATCCACACCCCTCAGCAGTCCGTCTGTAACATGTCTGCCCGGCCAAATTGAAGACAACAGTGTGACACATGGTTAGCATACAGGCGAGTCATGAGCAATACTTAACAATAAACTTTTGCAAGGGAAAATCACATTATCAAAACCATCAAAATGATGTTTTTTTTTCTTTCTGATGCTCTCAGTGTTGTGGTTTTATAGTATTCTCTCAGAGTCACAGACTCAAGAGTTTTAAAGAGGCCACTCTAATTAGGACGGTTTTGCCTTTTAAAATGTTTACAAACCTTTACGGATGCCCTGGCACTTTTTGATCAAACCAGGAGTTACAGTGGGTTGATTTTAAAGAAAGAATGGAAATCAGTTGACTTAGATTTTATACACTGCATCTAGCTAAGCAAGACGTTCCCGAACTACTTAGCACAGAAAACAGTAGTTACATAGAGTATGAGGTAGCAGTTTGGCAAGCTGCCAAAGCAAAGACTTCAAACAATACTTTAGGCAGGCTGTGTCTGTCAGGACTTTGGGGTAGGAAAAGCTGAGGATAAGAGTCAACTATTTCTGGCAGCACGCTGTGAAATGACTGAGCTTCAGAGTGCGGCCAGCAATCAAGTGTCATCAGTTTTTCCATTACTGAAACAGACTCGATGTATTTTATGCATAATTTTGATGCAAAAAATTACTTCTGTTAAAACTTTGGCATGCATAAATTATTGGTTTTTTTCTCCTAAATAGGGCAAGACAGGAAATAACTGTAGTCATTTTTTAAGAAAAGGAAACAAATATGAAATGATACAGATGCTTACCTACATGGAAAAATAGGTGAGGGGTCTTAGAAGACCTGTTATATAAACCATTTTATCCAGATGCCAATACTGGCAAATCCATTTTACATATGCTCCAGGATATATGGAAACAATGACAAAACTACATTCCTAAGAATAATGGCAGCAACAACAGGCTTATGACTTATATTTTCTTGTAAATGAAACAAAATTGAGATCACCACCAGTGACAGTTTGGCCTGATTCACTGATTCTCAGTAGGAATTAAATCCAACGCCTACTGCCTCTCATAAAACAGCAATCATTTGCTGATAATATTCTGACAAACACAGCCAAATACTGGCACTTAGTGGACACTAATTATATCTAATATTTCAACTCTAACAGATCGTCCTTGAAAAGAATAGAATAAAGAATTTGCATGAATTCACAAGCATACTGAAAAATATTTCTTTCTCTTTTTCAGAAACTTTAGGATACCTTTAGCCACTTAGAATATTTTCCTGGTTTATGTCTTACTGGTTTTGGGGATCTTTCGGGATCTTTGGGCGTCTTTGGGAATGCATGTTTCAGTATCAGAGAATATTTATAATAGCTTACATTGGTGTAAATGGCTACAGTTCATTAGCTCAGATATGGGATTGATGCCACTCTGTAAGATTTCTCATTCAGATGCCTCCCAAATCTGGAATTGTTGAGTTCAGAAGATGCTAGTTTCAGCCGTAAGATCTTGATGACTGGGGCTGTTGTTAGGAACAGAACCACTGCACAGACAGAGTCCAGGAAAGGCTAATTTGATTTCCCTTGAGAAGGCTCTAGGAAGACTCTATAAAATACCACATTTCTCAAAATTGCCTGGGGAGAGGGGGAAAACCCAAGCCCAAAAGCTGTTCCAACCCTGCTTGAGGGAATTCTTTAGTTTTGAGGAAAAAAGCAGAAATCACCTCCTGAGCAGGGTGAGGACGTCGGTCATGCTGCGCACACGTTTCAGCAAGCTGTCCAGCTTGTGTGGCTCCTCCTTCAGGAACCTCACAGCCTCCACCTCAATCCGCAGGATCGCCCGCATCTTGTTCTGCAAAGTTGGGAACTCTCCTGCAACAACAACAACTGGGAAGCTCAAGAAGAAATTATAAAAGCCCTGGGGAGAAATGGATGATGGGGTGAATGTTGAATAGTTGAGTTTCTTCCTCTCTCTAGGGACCATGTGACAAACTCCTTAATCCCAACTTTAGATCTTTTGGGAAGTGAAAGTTAATGCCCTCAGATCAAAAGCAAAACTGTTCTCAGCTGTTAAAACTGAGAGAAAAAGAAATTAACCGAAAGTAAAAAGAAAATACCTTTCAGGGTGGCAACAGCTTCTCCCACTTGACGCAAAAGAAAGGCTCCATCTTCAACATCTTTCAGTGTAACTGTCTTGCTGGAAGCAGCGGAGTCCCTCTTCAGGTCTTCAACAAATGCCTCCAGCTCACTGCCAAAACAAAAAATGTGGACATAAAATGTATGCAAGACTTTCACATTATCATAGAATCATAGAATCATAGGGGTTGGAAGGGACCTCGGAAGATCATCTAGTCCAACCCCCCTGCCAGAGCAGGACCACCTAGAGTACATCACACAGGAAGGCGTCCAGGCGGGTTTTGAATGACTCCAGTGAAGGAGACTCCACAACCTCTCTGGGCAGCCTGTTCCAGTGCTCCGTCACCCTCGCAGTAAAAAAAATTTTCCTGATATTCACCTTGAACCTCCTATGCTCCAATCTGCACCCATTACCCCTTGTCCTATCACAGGTCATCACTGAAAAAAGCTTAATCCCATCTTCCTGACACTCACCCCTTACATATTTGTAAACATTGATGAGATCACCCCTCAGTCTCCTTTTCTCCAGGCTAAAGAGACCCAGCTCCCTCAGCCTTTCCTCATAAGGGAGATGCTCCACTCCCCTAATCATCTTTGTAGCCCTACGCTGGACTCTCTCCAGCAGCTCCCTGTCCTTCTTGAACTGAGGGGCCCAGAACTGGACACAATATTCCAGATGCGGCCTCACCAATGCAGAATAGAGGGGGAGGAGAACCTCTCTTGACCGACTAACCACACCCTTTCTAATGCACCCCAGGATGCCATTGGCCTTCTTGGCTACTAGGGCACACTGCTGGCTCATGGTCATCCTGCTGTCTACCAGGACCCCCAGGTCCCTTTCCCCTACACTACTCTCCAGCAGGTCAGCCCCCAACCTGTACTGGTGCATGCTGTTTCTCTTCCCCAAGTGCAATGAATGCACTAAAGTAAACCAGAAACCTCAGCTGAGGCATCTTAAAATTTGGCAACACAGGCTAAGAAGCCAGCAAGGTACCATGAGGGGAGGTGAGGATGCTGGGCTCTCACACTCACAGCATAGGAACAGGCTTGTAACTAGCTCAAGTAATTTGTGTGACAGGCTGCAGATGTGCAGAGCAAGTGGAACCCAGAGCAGCTGTCCTACAAAGAGCTGGTGGGGTGGTGAAGTACATCTAACAGCCAGCCCTTTGGAGATGCAAATCCTGGAGTGTACAGACACACTGTACTACTGCACCCAGTGCTGCTTTGCACCATGCATTTGCTCATCGCTGATGACATACAAAGGAATGCCCAACAGTGAAGTAACAACCCAAAAGCTGCCACTAATGGCCCCTTGATGCAACCTTGATTATCTGACAGGTCCTGTTAAACAGGATACAGGGTCCTGTTTCCATGAATAGCCAGACTGAAACAGCAAGTGTGGACCGTGTGCAGCTCTCACTCAGCATTTGGATTCAAGAATTAATCACTTCAGATATTTCTTTCCTGCCAGTACTGTCCCATGCTTCCTCTGGCTTCATCTGATGCTTCCTCATCACCTTTCCCAATATTTTTTTGTAGTGCTTCCATATTTGACATAAATTTTCATAGTCCTTCAGACACAATATTTTTTTTGGGGGGAGAGGAGGAAATTTTTTTTTTCCTGTTTAAGGTTGAGATTACATTGCTTTAGCTGCTGTTTCCATGCAGAAGCTTAAAAATTTCTCAAAACCCCCTGAAATGTATTATGTACAACAATATAAACACCCATGCGAATACCTTAAAAGGATCACCTCTTGAATATTTATTCTAAGAGAAATCCACCTCTACTAAGATACAAAATTTACTAACAAGAATATTCTGAGAAGTAATTTAATTGCATGATTGATAGCAAACTCTGAACTGACACATCAGCTACTCATTTTAACCTAATTCTGGGCCTTATTTCTCACATTCACTCAAGTAGCAGTTTTGCAATTGCTATAATAGACACAAGGTAAGAGCCGATTGCCTGCAAAGGGGTAGGGGAAGACTGCTTTCTGCAACAACTGCAGGTCTTGCGTTTCCACATACTTCCTTGCACCAGTACTGCCACAAAAATTCAACAGAAAATTAGTTATTTTCAGCTAGGTCACTTTCCTGATCCATCTCTTTGAACAGGTGACACAGGCAGGAAAAGAGAAGAGTAGCTGGCCAGTAATGGATAAAGAGGAGATTAGGTCGATTTAAAGTGGAAACACAGTCACACAGAACAACAAATGGCAATACAATAACACGTATGATACACAACTTGGTCACACGTGGTGTTCCTGAGGGCTCAGTATTAGGGTCACTTCCGTTTAATATCTTTAACAATGACCTGGATGAGAAGACAGAGTGCACCCTCAGTATGTTTGCAGATGACACCAAGTTAGATGGAAGTGTTGATCTGCTTGAGGGTAGGAAGGCTCTACAGAGGGACCTGGACAGGCTGGATCAATGGGCCGAGGCCAATGGTATGAGGTTCAAAAAGGCCAAGTGCTGGGTCCCACATCTGGGTCACAACAACCCCAGGCAGTGCTACAGGCTTGGGGAGGAGCGGCTGGAAAGCTGCCCATCAAAAAGGAACCTAGGGGCACTTATTGACAACCAGCTAAATATGAGCCACAGCGTGCCCACGTGGCCAAGAAGGCCAATGGCATCCTGACCATATCAGAAATAGCATGGTCAG